TGGGGTGGGGTGTGGAGCTGCTGACAAAGCCACAGGCTTGTGGATGTGAGGGTGCAGGAGTTTGGGTTGGGGTGTGAGAGAGGTGCAGGGCAGGGAGGTTGGGAGTATGATGGGCTCAGGACACAGATTTGCAGTGTGTGGATGGTGCAAGAGTGTTGTGGCAGAAGACTGAGGATGTGGGGATGCAGAAGTTTGGGGATGTGAGAGGTTCAGTACAGGGGGTTCCAGTGTATGATAGGCTCAGATTTGGGGTTGGGATGGGGGGTACAAGAGTGTTATGATGCTGTGGCCAGATGAGGGCATGGCCCCATTTGGGGGCTTGTTGGCCAGGCTTCATTTTTTAAAAAAATACTATGTCAAACACAAAAGATTTCAGCGTTGTCTTTATTTATGAGAGGGGCAGGGAACCTGTTCTGAGTCAGGGATCACTGATCCACAGAAAAGTCAGTCAGGGTCACACAAGTGAGATACAAAAACACAATCCCTCCAAATCCCTCAAGACTCACTAATGTGGCCCCAACCGTGGTGGTGGGGGCAGCGGACAGGGTGCTGGGGCAGGGTGCCAATGGGTGCCGGGACAGAGTACTTGTGGGGATCTGGGTGTGGGGGGAGGGGACAGAGAGTACCTGGGGATACTGCAGCTGCATGCCAAGGCCCAGGAAGTGCGCAGGCTGCTCCCCCATCCCCCAAACAGTGGAGCGGTACCTGAAACGCTGGTCCGTTGCATGCCTGATGCCTTCCTGCACGGGGGGGGAGGAGAGTCCTGGACTGTGCCAGCCCAACCGCTGGGGCAGAGCGCGCTTTGCTCCTCCGCTCCCATGGCAGCGCATGCCATCCGAGCAGCCAGAGCCGGTGCAGTCCCAGAACCCCACCCACTCCCCCATGTGCAGGAAGGCAGCAGGGGAACAACATCTCCAGGGTGCGACAGACCGTAGTTTTAGGTACTGCGCCGGCTGTTGGGGGGAAGGAGGGGAGCAGCCCGCACACTTCTGGGACCTGGTGTGCAGCTGCAGAACTCCCCCCCACCCCACACAAAGCCCATGCTATCTCCTGGAGGTAGCATCAGTGCGGCGTTCATCTTAGGGGGAAGAGGAGCCCGAAAGCTTCATGATCGACTGGTCAAGCTTTCAGGATCAACAAAGTTGATCGTGATCAACGGGCTGGTGACCACGGATGTACATGGACATTCTGTGGCAGGGCTGGGGCCGAGGGTTTTAGAGTGTGGATGGGGATACAAGCTCAGGACTGGGGTGACTTTTTTGAGGTGCAGGAGAGGGCTCCTGGCTGGGGCGAAGGGGTTTGGAGTGCAGGAGTGGGTTCAGTGCAAGAGACTGGGGTGGAGGTGTGGGGTTTGGGCAGGAATTAGGGTACAAGAGGAGATTTAGGGTTGAGATGTGGGGTCTAGGATTGAGCTCAGGTGGTGGAGGGGGTGGGGAAGAGAATTGGTGTGTGGGGTGCTTACCTGGGGCAGATCCAGTTTGGTTTTAGAGGGAGCACAGGTGGCTCGATGCTGCCCCGTGCTCACCTCCAGGTTCTGCCCCTGCAGCTCCCATTGGCCACATGTCCTGTGCTTATTAAGCAACTTCGCAGCTTAAAGGGAACCTTGTTCCAAACCCCATCCTAAACCCTAGAACAGGCCCCTTGTACAGAAAAGGTGCCTTTTATTGCAGAGAGCTGGTCAGGATAATGTCTCCATTCCACACATGCATATTACAGCTTAGACCAGAGTGGGGTACCTTTTTTGGGTCAGCAGCCACTCACCCACAGAATAATCAGTTGAGGGCTGCACACAAGAGAGAAGCCAACCCCCTCCTTCCCAAGACCATCACTGATGTGGTCCCCGACTGAGAAGGAGAAACACCCCCCACCCCCACCCCCCCCCACACACATCTGCCTTGCACACCAGAGCCTAGGGGGACCCAGTCTCGTAGATTTTGTGTGTTCCAGCCCCATGGTGGGAAAGCAAGAGGCTGGAGCACCAGTACAAGCTCCCCAATGCTGCAGAGGGCAAGATCCAGGCAAGCTGAGGTTCCCCACCTCAGGCTTAGACACATCATGCTCAGTTCAGCCCATAGGCAGCAGCCAACACCTACCCGCATCTCCAGTCTTTCAGTTCTGTACTCTGCAAAATCTCCAAACAACTAAGAAAGGAGGAGAAAAAAAATCAGTAAAAAGTTCCCTTCCATGCAAGGTAGCCAGAGATAGACACCCCTTTGCACTGCATTGCACCTCTTGTGAAAGCTGTCTCCCAACTGCAGGTCTTGCAGAATCACACCTGGGACAGGCTTATGGTGGGGCTTGTTCGCAAATGCCTATTCAGCCCTTGTTTCAGGAGGGCAAATCCCCCAGTGACTGAGATCTAGGCACTTCCTTCTGCAGGGAAAGTCCTACACTAGGGATATAAACGACTAGTCAACTATCCAATAAGCATAAGTTTATCAGGTAGTTGAGTAGTAGTGACTCAACTAGTCACTTCCCCACCCCCATGCTGCCTCTAGAAGAGAAAGGCAGCAAGGGGGGAGGAGCAGGAGCCAGTGCTGGGTGGGGGGCAGGGATGTAGCAGGGAAACAGCGCAAGCGGGGACTGAAACAAGCAGGGACCCATGCAGACAAGTGCTGCTTCACAGCAGCCTCCTCTATTCCTCCTTTCCCCACTGCCTCTGATAGAGGCAACAGGGGCAGAGCAGGTAGCACCTTGAAGACAGTGCTGCGCTTTTAAGCCGGCTCCTCCCAGCATCAGCTCCTGTTCCACCCCCTTGCTGCTCTTGTGCATTCCAAAGGCTAAAGTGCTGCAGTGGAAACACCAGGTCAGCAGGGACTACTTTAGTCCCCACTGGCCCCATGCTCCCTGTGGCTCTCCACCTTGCAGCAAGGGGGTGGAACTAGGGTTGCCAGGTGTCCGGTTTTTGTCCAGTTCGGTAATTGTGCCTTCTGTCTGGTAAAAAAAAAAAAAAAAAAAAAACAGAAAATCCCAGACATGCAAAATGTTTTCCTTGGACAGAAGGTCGGAGGGGACATTTTCCCCCTGCTGCATCTGGAGGGGGAGGTAAGAACGTGGGAATTTAAAGACTCATAGAATCATAGAATAATAGGACTGGAAGGGACCTCGAGAGGTCATCGAGTCCAGCCCCTCGCCCTCAAGGCAGGACCAAGCTCCGTCTACACCATCCCTGACAGATGTCTATCTAACCTGTTCTTAAATATCTCCAGAGAGGGAGATTCCACCACCTCCCTTGGCAATTTATTCCAAAATTTGACTCCGCAACCTTTTTTTGGCCCCACAAAATTGGTCTCACTTTTTTTTTTTTTTTGTTCATCCAATTTTTCTCCAGACACTCTGTGCCCAGTTCCTGCACAGCCACCAGCCTCTAGGCGGGGGAAGCATTCACCGCCCGGTTCCTGAGCAGCAGGATGAGCGCTCCCCATGCCCCTTCCTATGGCTGTGGAGGAATCGGGCAGTGAGCACTCCCCCGCCTGGAGGCTGTGCAGGAACCGGGTGGGGGAGCTCTCACCACCTGGAGGCTGCGGAGGAACCAGGCGGTGAGTAAAAAAAATTTTGTATACCCCGCACCCGAGTATACCCCACAGGGGGGAGTGTGGGGTTTGTAAAAATGAATATAACCCACAGGTTATATTTCCTAAATTACAGTACTAGTGTCTACAAGCCCTCAGTTTCATCTCACTACCACTAGATCACTCCTTGAGCCCCTGAAGTAATTTCAGAACAAGAACATACAAACGACCATATTGGGTCAGACCAAAGATCCATCTAGCCCAGTATCCTGTCTTCCACTAGTGGCCAATACCAGGTGCCCCAGAGGGAATGAACAGAACAGGGGAATCATCAGTTGATCCTTCCCCTGTTGCCCATTCCCAGCTTCTGAAACAGAAGCTAGGGTCACCATTACTGCCCATCTTTGCTAATAACCATTGATGGACATGTCCTCCAAGAATTTTTGGACTCTTTTTTGAACCCTGTTATATAGTCTTTGATTTCAGAACATTCTCTGCATTTCTCTACCTGAATTACATTTGCACTCTATATACATTTGTATCTGAATGGATTATTCCAAATATGGCACAGAGAGGAACTCTTCCCTTCCCATTTGGCATTATCTTCATGTTTCATTAATAGATTCCATAAGGGGTGGAGGAGCACTTACTCCCAGACTCCACGGTAGGGAGGTGCTCATTTCCTGGTCTCCCCTTATCCCAAACTGAATAAAAGGGTGTGACGGCGCGTTGGGGGTCCCCCGTCTCCTGCACCCCGAAATGGCACAAACAGACTGCCCCAGCCGGTGGAATAGAGGAAGTTTATTGCCTCTCCAGGATACTGCACAGCACAGATGGAATCTGGTCACAGAGCTGGGCTAGTATGCCTCAGGCCCCCTTGAGATGGGGAAGACTGGGCCCCTAAATTCCAGCCCCTTTCCCTAGGCTGTCTCCTCCATGCTCCCAGACACCAACTAAACTCACTCTCTTCCAGCCCTGCCCCCCAGCCAGGGCAGCCTCCACCTTCCTTTGTTCCTCTCCATGGGGGGTATCTGGTTCAACCAGTTTGGCATCACCTTTGCATAGTGAGGTTTTCCCTGCTGGGTCTTGCTCCAGACAGCAGAGGTCACCACAGCCCAGCAAGTACCCCCACTACGTCACAAAGGGTTCTGAGTAACTGAGTGTCACACTTTTGTAATGAGCCATAATTGTATGTGGTTAGGCAGGCAGGGTGGGAGAAGCACCTGTTTCACTTGGGGGAAGCAGGAAGTGCTAGGCACTATGACACAGCAGGCAGAATGGGTTGGTCTGTATAAAAAAAATGATGGGGTGACATACCATCAAGAGACTCTGGTGGGGTGCACTTCCCATCCCCATATCACTAGTATGTTTTGCCTGTTTTGACTTTAAGTTGTTGGAGCAGGGACTACCTTCTCTCTCAAATCTGGGTGATACCCAATACACTTGGAGGCACTTAATAATATAAACATTATAATCAATAAAAACATATTCCTTTCCTCAGATATTCAATTCAGAAGCATCCCAGAATAACAATCTCAAAACACCATGGCATGACATACAAGTAAATTGTCAATCAAAATGTAATAAACACGAACTGTTAAGTCAGCAACAAGTCAGAAAGGCAAATAAGTAGCAGCAGATCTTAAATAACAACACATATGATCACTGAGTACAAGGAGAAGAAACAAGGAAAAGAACAAGATCAGGGAGTATGAAGCGGAAAGGCAACATACACACACACCCATCTTCACAATTTCCTTCTCTTCTCCTCAAAAGTTCAGCAATACTTTGCTAGAGGCACCAGGTAATCCCAGAGTCATAATTTATACCTTTGATTTAGTTCAGGAAGTGGATGCTATTACTGTAGCACTGTTCTTCCAAATGGCCACAACCCCGTCATATGCAGAAAAAGCATCCTCTTCCCCCTCTGTTCCCCTATTAACATGTGCTACTGTGGTAAAAGCATTCACCATGCTCCATAACCTGAAGTTCAGAAGATCAAACCAGGGAGTCTGGTTGCCTGAAGACGGTGCAGCCAGGCTGCTGACAACATGTCCACGAGACGCAGCAGAGTCCCCAGGGGCAGGTCTGGTTCCATGTTGCAGAGTGCTGTTGTGTCCCGAGTGAGGGCAAGCAGAGCACTCCAAGACACAAATGCTTTGCTATCCCTCAGCGAGGTAGACCAGCAAGCAGAGAAAGCTGAGAACTGTCTGTCCAGGATGTGGGGTAGGGTCCCTTTAGGTACAGACCTCGGATAGCCTGAGGCAGCAGATCCACACACTAAGTCCGACCCTGATGCCCTGCCAGCACTGGTTCCGGCCAGCCTTACCTTCGATTGAGGGTCCAGTCAATGTGGACGCGCTATTTTGAATTAAAAAAAGCTATTTCGAATTAGTTTTTGTGTATAGATGTGTTATTTCGAATTAGCTTATTTCAAATTAACTAATTCGAAATAAGTTAATTTGAAATAGTGCTGTAGTGTAAACATACCCTTACCCAGGGGCGGCGGCGCGTGCTGCGCATGCGCTGACCGCTCTGTGTGGCCGCACCGGGCTATAATCTACCTGCCCGTACCTATTTCATAGCCACATCAGTTGACTTTGGTGATGGTGAAGGAGTGTGATGAACATTTCCCATCAGCATAGACAACTTGGTTCTCAGAGGTCAGCTGAAGAGCCAGTAGAATGAGGTTCCTCCAGTACTTTCATGATGTGTACACAATGTCAGATAAATCATGACTCACTGCAACAGGGAAGGGTGTAGCTCAATGTTCCTCCAGTAAACAAGCTATATACTTCTTCAAAGTTCCCTACAGTCTCTCCACTATCCCAATTTCTTGGGGATGGTACACAGCAGATTAATAATGTATTGGACCAATACTCATCAGAAAGCCTTAAAAATTCTCTCAATACAAAATAAGTCCCATTTTCTGAAAGAAGTCTCTCCGATAGACCAAGCATGGCACATAAAGCAATTAAGCAAGAGATGAGCTTCTTTGGGGAATCTTGTGAAATTATGAATGCAAAGAGGTAACGTGAGTAACAGTTAATAGCAGGTAGCCATGCAGTGTATTTGAGGGGCCAGAAATAGCCGCTGCACTTCTCTGCCATGGTCTATCTACAACTACTGTTATCCAAGGGGTGGGAGGAATAATAGTTCTGTGCACTTTGCAGACTGATTATGCCTTTGCATGATGGCCCAATGTCTGAATGCAGCCCTAACCACCAAACCTAACTACACATGAACTCCTTCATCTTCATAACTCCCTAATGTCCTTCATAAATCACATCCAGGACTGCTTTTTGAATGATGGTGGAATGATCATGCATGCTCTTCTGAATAAGATATGTTGAGTAGCACAGCTTCACTTGGAACAAAAGTAAAATGTTAACAAAATTCTCTTAAGGACTTGGTCTGTCCAACCGATTTATAGAGCATGCACAATTCAGCATCTGCACTCTGTCTTACCTCAACTGGCAAGCTATTCAAAAATATAAAGCGTACCTTGCCACTTCTCATGAGGGTGTCAAACCAGCAGAATTTCCCAAAAGAGTATTGGCAAGTAGATTAGATCTTTGGCTTTCATTTTGTACATATCAAACAGTCACACTGCTGCAACTGATAATCCA